CTCTCTCTCTCTCTCTCTCTCTCTCTCTCTCTCTCTCTCTCTCTCTCACGCACATGCGTGCATGAGCGCACACATGCACTTTGTGCTCCTGATGTTTCTGCTCTCTTGCACAGCATACTTTTTCCTCTTCACGACATGTTTTGCTAGTGGTTGCTATTGGATATGCTACTTCGTAGTCTTCCTCTGAAGGTGGAAGAGAGGGGAGACACATCCCATCAAGGCGAGGAAACACTTTCTTACGGGGTGCGCATCTCATTTTTCGTTCATCATGTCCCCCATTTCCCCCCCATCTTTTATGTATGTGGTGTCGACTTTTTCCCTGGCTGCCCCCTGCACTTTGTCTTCTTTTTCCCTTGAAGCGTGAATCCACCCCTGACAACAGTAGTTGAGTTAGTGTAGGAGTTCAAAGCTGAATTTGGTTCGTTCGATTTATTGAATTTTATTGAATTATGTTCAGAATGTAGTGACGAAGATCACTTAGGACGTAGTGAGCATTTGCGACTGTCCAATTTGAGGCAAAAGTGAATATGTTCCAGGTTGATTGTCCATGCGCAGTGCTGTGTTTGATTCTATGAGTAGTTTATACAGACACCCAGTGTTTCTCAAGGCTGGGGAGGAGGAGGTGTGTCCGAGTAGCTATGATTCAGGTAACCGCTTTCACAGGGTCACAGGGCCATGCCTGCTGAAAGTGACAGGGAAAAGTGGGCAACAAGTAGTTTAATTTTGTATGGTTACTGTTTGAAAAATGGTTGGCTGCTTGATGAGCGCGAAACTCTTGGATGCTTCAGGAAATGGATGGTGCTTGTGAAATTCGAGGTGTGTATGCACCCAGTCTTCTCTGCTTGTTTGGTTGACTAAGTAATCGACATTGGATGACTACTTTGTTCTTTCCGTGATTCTGAAAAAGGGGAGGACAAATGAAATCGGTTATGGACCTTACTGTGATATTGTTCTCGATTGTTCTACCCATGAGGATGTTGTCACGGCTTGCTGTGATCCTTTTGACATGGCTTAGCAATGTATAACCGCTGGTGATGTCTCCAGTCTCCAGGACTGTCTCCATGGCATGTACTTTCCCTTACTTTCCCTTTCACAGTTTGGTCTTCTTCTTCTTCTTCTTCTTCTTCTTCGTCTTCGTCTTCGTCTTCTTCTCTCTCTCTCCCCCGTCCCCTTCCCCTTCTTCTTTTCCCCTGTCTCTGTTGTCTTGTTTTTCTTCTTCTTGCGTCCACTTACCTGTTTCTCCTGGTTGCTGCCAGTTTGTTGTGTTTCGAATGTTATTTGTAAGTGTTCAGTCCCTCTGCAGTCGACACTGAGATGGCCTGAGCCTCGTAGCGCTCAGTAATGCTATGAATGCAACATACTGCACAAACACATGACCAGGCCAACAACCGCCAGTTGTATATATCCAGGACATCGTCAGCATGCGACTTTGGAGAGTTGCACATCAGGCGTCGTCCCTAGTAGAAAGCCTCTTTTGTTTGAGTTTTTTTTACAAATAGTTTGGAGCATTTCTTTATTTATGTGTGTAATCCTTGGGCAGGGGCCATGCTAATCTTCTGAGTGTCGTTCCAATTTTTGAAGGGCAAGGGCAAGGGCAAAGGTAAGCACACCACACACGATATGCAGTCATAAAAGTTGACAATGGGTGAAAGACCCGCTGACGGTGGGATGTCGGATTGGAAAAATTAACATCATGGAGGTCCCATCCTGAAAAGCCCCACCAATCGTGCCACAAACCCGAAGCCCGCCACCGATACAATGCAGACAGACCAAAATGGCAGCTGTCGAGTGGCCGTCGACAGTTTTTCAAGTAGAGTCAGCCGAAGAAGACCCGCTGACGGCGGGATGTCGGATTGGAAAAATTAACATCATGGAGGTCCCATCCCGAAAAGCCCCACCAATCGTGCCACAAACCCTAAGCCCGCCACCGATACAATCCAGACAGACCAAAATGGCAGCTGTCGACGAGAGTCGACAGCAAGCAGCCGTCGACAGTTTTTCGACTGAAGACGGCTGCCGAAAGTAAAGTCAGCCAAAGAGGATGAAACAAAATGAAAGGAAAACCTATATACTAATCGCTACCGCCGGAGTTAAACCGAAAAACGCCTCACCAGGCTTGCAGTCAGTTTCCAGACGGCCCCCCTTCTGCTTGCAAAATTATCAAGGGTCTTCAAAATCAGACCTACCRGAAAACCCTTTCGCTGAAAAACCAATTTTAGGAGTATGACCTGGCCAGGGATCTYTTCCCTCATAGAGGTGTTGCTATCAAKCCGGTTCAACCAACCGGAAATTGCCGCTGCTTTCTGGYTTCTGCTAGACCAGGATGGGAAGTCCTGGCCTGCCCTGATTGCCAGGGTACGGCCCACTTTCAAATCACCATCATTTTTCACCTTTTGAAAACAGCCCATGAAGGGGTACGTGTTTCGGATCTCCAAGGCACAGCCCAAAAACTCCCGACCCCCGGACCCATCGTCTGTACGTTTTAACGAGAGCTTCCGGGGTTAACATGTTTCAAAACCCTGACGAATTTCCGCAGCAGTCAAAAACGATTTTCCATCTTCCTTCTTGCAAATACAGAACAAAGACACGTCATCCATCAAGTGAACTCCCTCCACAAGGTTACGTCTACTGACTCTACTCTATGGATTCTTGAGGAAAGACCATTCCGCATGGGCACACATAATGCAGGCCAAAGGGGGACTCATGCTACTTCCCATTGGTATGCCCATTGTCTGCTTGAGGATGGCACCCGATGCAGTTGTGTACGTAGATGTGAGCGCGAAACGTACGAACTGCTGCATATCATCGAAGGTTACGGGTTGCCAGCCTAAGTCATGAGTTCTTTTGTAGACAGAAGCACCCCTTCCCCTTAGATTAACCCAAACCGCCTGTCTACCTTTAGATCTGTTCCAATCAAGTAACCAATCCAATGCTTTGAGGATCGCATCATGTGGTAGGTGCGAAAACATATCCTTAATATCATAGGAGGCGCCTACCACGATTGCTTCCTTTCCGCTTTGACAGGCCAAACTGTTGATCTGCGATAACCGCTTAGCCAAATCTTTAACGGACTTAAGATTGAAATGATAACTTGGAGGAAGTGCGTTCAGCAGTGCATTCGACCCTTTAGCGACCTTGCGTCCTGCTGGCGTGCAGGGTTCACTAAAGGTTGGGCATATCGGCCTAAATCGTTCCAAGTCCTTGTGTTTCGGTATCCCATAACCTTTCCCCAAAGCGCCCTTAGGTATCCATCTACCAAGACGTTGAAAACCCTTCTCCTTGTACTCCGCATTCATCCTAGCTAAGATATTCACTTCACCATCAAACTGTACTACATACCCACTGCTTCGTATAAACGACTTTTGCATGGCTTCATGATAAAGTCTGGAACACATTAGAATCGTTTCCCCTGGATTTCGATCGGCTGGAGCACATACAAGATCTTTGTACATATTCTTCACTTTATACACTTCCTCAATAGTACATTCAACGTCCCTCAGGCGGGAACCATTCATGCAAGTAGCAACTTCAGCAGAACTAAAACAAAGGTATCTACGTCACCAATCTTCCAGTCGGCGCAGACCTTAGCAAGCTCAAGCGGAAGTTGTTCAGCCTTAGCTGAAGTCGCCGCCTTAGGAATGTTGCAGGCATTGTGGATAAAGGATGGCACTCGATGGTCCTCCCAGATTCGACAACATACATGTCCTTTGAAACAGGGAAGCGGCACCTGTGCACATACAGGGGCTAATCTCCCGGCGAGCATAATGCCGGTGATTATGTAGGATATCAGAGACCGATGGATTTTTTGTCCATACGGTCCTGATTTTCCGCTTAAGCGTCTCACGTACACACGTTGGCACTTGTAGAGTGTCCAGCTTATCATCCAAAGCCGATGAACACCACACAGGCTAATACGAGCATCAAACTGTACTCTTGCAATCAACTTCTTACCAAATTCAAAACCAAAACCCTCCTTAATGGCCGAATTTACAATGCGTCTTAGCAGAGAACGGGTACGCTTCCGACTAAAATCCTTGATTACTGGGAACAGCGAAATGAAGAAATGCAAGTCGCGGCGGGATACTGCAGATTGTTTACTCTTTAGTCTTCAGCAGAGACAGTAAAAAACGTTTACCCTTGGTATTGAATTTCCTCCATTTACGTAAATTTACAAACAGAATACTACAGGCTACATCCCCTTTCAATGAGGTCTTTACAATCTCGTAACAGCAAATTCTTCCCTTCGTAGCAGACCAGCGAATCACCATACATGCGCTTGAAACGCTTCCAACCATCATACCACGCATTACCTCCTTCGGTGGAGAAGACAAAACTTCTAATCCGTCGACTATCGGTTTCGCAGAGCAGGTCGTTCAGCTTAATACAAGTGTCCTTCCCATTGATGCAACATTTCATCAATTTAACGTCCTTTACATCAGAGGAGGCCCTTTCCTTCTTCTTTCTGCGCACCTTCTTCCCTCTTTCACGTCTACCTTTCCTGCGTCGTCTATTTCTGGAGGTGCAACGACCTGTGGTGTTCAGAATAGGACACCAGTGCTTGATGTAGAAGGATTCAATCGCTAGAAGTTCACTAGCCACGGATCCAACTAATGGCAGTAGAATGCAGCTTTCCAGACTGGAAGTTTTTAACCAACGGTGAAAGTGGGAACCGCCCTTCTCATGCATGCATTTGCCACGATGTTCGACCCACCTTGTATCAAGGTCGCACTCCGTTTTTTCGATATATACCGCTTTACAATAAGGCGAAATACCCACATACACACAACTACGTGCATTTTCAAACCCGTCGTCTCGATTCAGACACCAGTTAATCTCGTCAGGAAGAAATTTAACAGCCCAAGCTATGCATCCACGTAAAGCAAGGGCAAAGATAACCCATCTAAGGTCAGTTTCTAGTTCACGATCTACAGTCAAACACGACTTACGCTTCTGGATGAGGTCACGACAAAGCCCCCACAGACGTTGCACCGACCGGCCACATCAACCCTCGCTTTCGCTTTCATCAGACACATCAGAAGTTGAGGTGGCTTCAGTACTACTCGGTATGGGTAGTGCAGTGGCATCCACACGTACACCAGCAAACTCCCTGGCCGCTCGTCGTTCGGCAAGATCGATGATAGCTTTCTTCTTCCAGATATATGGAACACCTTCGCGTTTGCACAAGTCCCTCACTTTATAATCCAGCGTTTCCAGTTGTTCCACGGAATTGCGAATGAACAGTGCTCTGGCATCAGGCCTTTTCTGGGGCACAATCTCTTCATTTAAATTTTGCGGTTGAACTCCCAAAGTAGTGCGAGGGCGCCTCGATCCTTTACAAGTCCGGTACATGAGGTGCGCGTAAGAGGAGTAACATCCTCAGGGAAGTCCTCGTCAGAGGAGCCGGGGCTTAGCTCCATCCTCTGTGTACCAGCGCTAATAGCAGCCACGTCGTCTTCAGTATCGTTTTCGCTTGGAAGGGGTATCTGGCGTAGCTTGCGCTTCAGGGTCCTTGTTCTCCTGGCTCGTGTGCGTTGCTCACCTGCTTGTCGCTCCTGATTTAGTGCCCCCCAACGCCGCAACAATTGCATGTTAATGATCCTCGCTACTCGGAGTTCATTTTCTTCGTGTTCTCTCTCCTTTCTCTCCTGTCGCCTTCTCTTCTTTCTTCTTTCTCCAGAGCTCCCTGTCGCTGTCTGGCTTGTTCCTCTTTCTCCTTCCGTTTCAGGTTCTTAGCCGCCTCCTTGGCCAATAGCATTTTACCAATTCTCCCGTCATATCTTTCCGGTGTTCCGTGTGTGCGACATATCGGTCAGTTGACGGCGATCTTCTCGATCTTCTTGGCACTTCCCATCGATTTCGACATGATGATGTTGACCTGGGTCTCAGCTCCGCCTGGGGAGGGGGTCACTCGGAAGTTCCTTCGCCAGATTCCGTCTGAAGTCGACGCCGATCCGCTCGCTCCTTCTCCTCCTTCCAAAATAGGCCACAATCCCCAGCGTAGTGACCATAATGCTTGCAAGAATAGCATTG